GGGCGGCGCCCCAACTCCCCAATTGGCCCTGCTCTGAGCCCGACCAGGGGCTACACCTAGGGATTGGGCCTGCCCTCTGCCACCCAGGAGCAGGCCTAAGCCAGCAGGTCGTTATCTCCCGAGGGGTCCCAGACTGCAAGAGGGAACAGGGCTGCAATTTTTGTGCACCGGGCCTCTAGTATAGGATAAGTGTCTTAGCTCTAAGTATCCAGTAATTGAAAATTTAATGTAGGTTTGAGTTAAATTTTTCTTTTATAATTTAGCATTTTAGCATAATGCAGCATACTGATTTAACTTTAAATGAGGAAATGTAAATGATTGTCAGAAGGATGTGACAATCATTTATATTGAAGGATGTGAATTTCTAACTTATTCATTATGAGAAAACTTTTCCTCTAGAATGATTACACGTGGATTAATGTGTTAATATCTGCTCTTCCATAGAGAGCCTCCTTTTCACCTGACCAGAAGAGGCTGGGGTGAGTTTCCTGTCAGAGTTCAAGTTCACTTTAAGGACAGCCAGAACAAGCGGATAGATATCATACATAATCTGAAGGTATTGTAACAAAACATTGTTCTCTGGAAATGAAGTATCTCTTTCACCTGGTATTGAACGTAGTAGGTTAGTTCTGAGAGAAGCAGCCAGGTGAAGGATAGTGGAAGCAGGATAAATCTTTTTGAGTGTGTTATGCTATAACACTCCTTTGTCCCCTGAAGGTTGGGGGAGCAGGGGAGGGCCTTTACAGTTGAATGTATGTTCTTTAAATCAGATATCATCAGAACACTTGAATTTCTGACCAGAGCTCACTGTTATTGTGTTACCTGTGGTTAATCTGTTTTTTAAAAAATTTTACTTTTCTATAAAATGAGGCAAATACAGCCCGGCTGGCATGGCTCAGTGGTTGAGCGTCAACCTATGAACCAGGAGGTCACAGTTTGATCCCTGGTCAGGGCACATGCCCGCGTTTCGGGTTCTGTCCCCTGTGTGAGGTGTGCAGGACGTCACTGATCAGGGATTCTCTCTCATCATTGATGTTTCTATCTCTCTTTCCCTCTCCCTTCCTCTCTGAAAGAAATAAATCTATATATTTAAAAAATGAGGCAAATACAGAAAGTCCTAAAATGATGCTTCGTTCAGTGTCATTATAATGATGAGATGTCATAGGAACTTACCGGTAACTCTTTTATATATCATTTAACCTATGGTAGATTTGGTTTCATTGTACTACTAGAGGCCTGATGCACGATATTTGTGCAAGGGGTTCGGCCCTCGCAGCCCCAGCTTCGTCCGGAAGGTCGTCCGGAAGGTCATCCGGCTGTCCGGTCTAATTAGCATATTACACTTTTATTATTATAGATAGATGTCTTGCTTAAAGTTGTAGAACCTATCAACAACATTAGGTGAGGAGTTCCTGAAGTAAGCCTTGTCTGTTTATCTCCTGAGGATAAAGAATATGTTTATTTCCGAAGAGTAACAATTGAAGTGAACGTGTTTTAGAAAATGTAAAGTACTGTAGCAGGTTGTAAAACTTTAGTTATTTATCCTCACCTGAGGATATGTTTGTTTATTTTTAGAGAGAGGAAGGATTGATCAGTTGCCTCCTCTATGTGCCCTGACTGGGGATCAAACCCCCAACCTTGTGGTATTCAGGAGGACAGTCCAACCAACTGAGCCACCTGACCAGGGTGAAGGTTGTAATACTTTTGATTTGTATTGTCAGAAATCCTTTTCTGATATATCCACATGGTTTGTTATGCAGCTATTATAAGTTATATTTTACAGAGTGTTTCCTATACCTGGGGGGTAATTACTATTATATAGTAAGCAAAAAGCCCCGAGTATAAAGTATATTTATAGAATGAGGTCACCATGATTTTTAAAAAACACAAAAGAAATATACCAAAATGTTGGCGTACATAATTGAAGTAATGATGCTGTGATCTATTTCCTATGGCCTTTTTATCTGTGTGTGGTTTTTTGAAAGTATTTTTACATAATGAACAGTTATAAAAATATTTTTTATAGTTGGAAGACAGATAATTTTTAAAATGGGCCTCTAGGCCAGCGGTTCTCAACCTGTGGGTCGCGACCCCTTTGGCAGTCAAACGACCCTTTCACAGGGGTCGCCTAAGACCATCCTGCATATTAGATATTTACATTACAATTCATAACCGTAGCAACATTACAGTTATGAAGTAGCAACGAACATAATTTTATGGTTGGGTTACAACATGAGGAACTGTATTTAAAGGGCCAGAAGGTTGAGAACCACTGCTTAGGCCCTCACTATAGTAGTCTTGTATATATTTTCTTACATTGAACTTCTCCTATAGCACCCTTACTTGTGGCTTACTACATTGTTCTCATTAATGACTCCCAAAACTGAGCTAAATGAAACTGAGTACATCTGCAGAATCTGTTTTTTGTTTCCTT